TGGCCTGGGCACCACCCGATAGCCCGGGGCAGTGCTCGGCACTAGGTCCCCAAGGGTCCCTACGAGTTCCCTCTGAGGTGAGCTGGGCACCCGGCCCTCGCCCTCAGACCCGCAGCAGCCGACCACACTCCAGCCCCCGGGGTGGCAGCTGGGCCTTGACTCTTTTCCAGGACTCAGCCCCCCACCTCGGAGGGAAAGAGGACACCTGGGGAACCCCCAGTACTGGGGACTCACAGCTGGTGCTTCAGTGCCTGGAGTTAGGTGGGTCCAGCTCTCTCCCTGGAACTCCCATTTCTGGGCTCGACCTGGCTGCCCTTCAGGACTCCTGGTGGTCCTCATGCCTCGGCGTCCCCTGGACTTGAGGTGGACAGCCCTCTGTGCGGCCAGCCCCGTGTGTGCTCCTGCTGCCCCTCCCCGAGGTCTCCCGTTGCAGGATGGGGTATGAACTGTTGGGGGGGGCAACTCCCCAAACTCTCCCAGGCTGGGCCCTGCCTTCCAGCCAGACCTGTCCCCTCCTTGCAGACACATCTACTTCCTCCTGTCTCCACACAGTCCCCCAGACGATGAAGCATTCGGCCAAGACGTGTCATTCACCCCTTCTCAGTCTGCTCTCCCCACCCCCACGCAGCCAGCCTTGCATCCTGCCAGCCCTAGCCTTTCCCCGTGGTGCCTAACCACTACCCACATCATGGCCACCCCCCACCACAGAGGACCCTTAAACTGCCAGGGCCCACCAGGGCTGCCACCTTTTTATCAAAAAGGAAGTTAAGAGGCAAGCACTGGGTCTCAAAAGGACACTTTAATACCAAAGACATGGGAAGGCCACTTTTCCCAACTGAAAGGGCGTCTCTAAATAGAAAGCAGGAAGCTAGAGGGCGAGCAGCTGTCCTTCCTGTCCCTGGAGAGGCCCCCCCAGGGCCCACGAAGGCCTGTGCCCAGCCCTCGCCAGTCTCTGGCCTCTGGCCCTTCCTCTCGGGAGATTCCTGACCACGGCGGCCCCGCCCCACCCTCTGGACCCACTGGTTTCTGCCCAGCCAGGCCCTCTTGACCACAGGCCCTCGGGAGGGAGTGGGACCACCCCGCCTGGAGTTGAGGCTGGCGTGTGGGGCGGAGTCGGGCCCTGACCCGAACAGGACTCGGCACTCAGAGCTGATCTGGTCCTGGGAGGGCAGGAAGGGCTTCTGGGGTCAGAGCAGAGCTGGCAAGTCTCACCACCCCCCACCCCAGGCCATGGTCTCCCCAGGCCATACTCACACCAGGCCACTCTGCACCCCAGGCCACTCTGCCCTGGCAGGGTGGGGGCAGGCCGAGGAAGGGGCCCCTCCTGCTCCCCGCTTCAGCCCTGGATCCCACCCCGCCTGACGTCCCTCCGCTTCCCCAGCCCCACGTCCAGGGGTCTTGAGGGTGTGCCACTGAGGAATGGCGATGGCCTTTGCAGAGCCCTCTGGGGAGGATGGGGATCCGTGGAAACTGTTGCTTGTTCTTGGACTGAAGGTGCTTGGGGTCCCCAGGGGCTTCTCCAAGGCCAGCCCGCAGCCCCTGCCCTCAGGTAGCCAGACGAAGTGACCACGTGGTCCAGCAAAGCACATGCTGGAGTGAGCTCCAGGGAGGCCCAGGCCCATTGCCCCCACACCCTGAAGTGGCGTCCTCAGGGGTGGCTGCCTCAGGTCGGACACTGGCACACAGGTGGCAGAGAGCTCTGGAGGCAGCAAAGGGCAGGTCCCTACCATGCCCCGGCCCCACCCTGTGCAGGTCAGCATTCCCACACCAAACGCAGGGGGCTGGCGCTGCCACAGACCCCTAGAGACCTGACCTCCCTAGAGACTGTGCCCTGTGCAGTGAAGCTGCCCTCTCTACCAGCCAGGGCCAGGCCATCGAGCTGCGTTTGAGGTGAGGACTTTTCTCATCCTGGCCCCTTCCAACTGCGGCTTCGTCCCTAGGTCCTGCCACCTTCAGCGCCTCCCCCGTGCCTGTGTCCTTGTCTGTAAAATGGGGACAGGGACAGGCAGAACAAGTCAACAAGTACAAAGACCTGAGAACAAGGCCTGGCACGTGTGAGCACTCCGCTCCCTGCTGTCCAGTGACCTAGATGAGCTCGGCATGAAACTTGGTCAGAAAGTGGCTGATCTGTGCCCACCCCCGCTGGAGGCAGTCAAGGGAGCACTGGTGAAATGGATGAGTTGCAGCTTTGCCACATGAGGGCTGGCTTTGTGAGCCGGGTGGGGGCTCAGATGGAAGGAAAAGCCCCCCGCCCCCAGCCCGTGCCCCTCACCTCCACACGGCCTGGAGGGCACAAGACCCAGACTCCAGGGACCAGCCCTCCCAGGGGCTCGGCTGCAGCTCGGGGTCCACCCCCAAGTGTCCCCCTCCCCTGGGCCTTGAGAGTGCCCCGTGTGCTCAGCAGTGACAACATGGCGCCCTGCGGCCCGTGCCTGGAGGCATCGAGAGTGGCCTGTGATCCACAAGTGACACCTCTTAGGGACCTCGCCCTCAGCGGGAGCTCAGTTGCCCCCATGCCAAGGGAGACCGGAGACTGACTCCAGCCACCGAGGCAGGATGGGGCCGGGATCCAAAGCACCGGGGCCGCATGAGGCGGACAGGAACGCTACTGTGGAGCCCGAGGGCCAGGCCGGGCCCGCCCTCAGGGAGCCACAGCCTCAGGCTGGCAGCCCCTGCCCTGCCAGGAGCACTGTGGGTAGTGGCCGAGCGCCCCGCACTGCTAAGCAGCCTGCCCATCTTAAGCCAACGGCCAAGAGCAAGGGGCCCCTCCCCTCCAGACAAGACGGGTGGGTGGGCTGTGTGAGGAGGCCCCAACAGCTGGTCCCTCCGTCCCAGGCCGGACAGCCTACTGGGCCAAAGGACTCACCACCTGTGATGCACGGCGCACAGGCAGACGGGCCTGGGGGCAGACGGGCCTGGGGGCAGACGGCGGGCATGCCCACGTCAGCGGGGCTCAGAGCCCATCCCTCCCCAGCCTGCAGGGAGAGGGGCGGGGGCCCAGGAGGAGGCAGGGACCAGGCTGTGGCTCCACATGTCGGTTTACTGCTGGGACAACGGAGGTGCAGGGAGGGAGCCCAGGCCGGCAGGGCCAAGGCGGGAGTGCAAGGGTTGCTGGGAAGAGGGAAGCATGGCCAGACCCGGCCGGCCCTAGGGTGGGCACAGGACAGCCTGCAGGTCCTTGGGCAGGGAGCCGATGACTGTCCTGATGTACAGCTGAGCCCGCTGCAGCGTGGCCTCCTTCACGGGGAGCTGGCGGCCCTGAGCCCGCACCTGCAGGACGGGGCAGCCAGGGGCAGGGCGGTCAGGGGCAGGCACACCTCCCCATCTGGCTGGGGGCAGCTGGTCACGGCTGGGAGGCTCTCACCAGCTTCTCCCGGAGTTTCAGGACCAGGTCCACAACCTCCACCTCGGACTTGTCCTTCACCCAGGTCTCGATGTCCTGCCAGGGTGAGATGGAGCCCTCCGTCACCAGGCCCCCCACCCTGTGCCCACTCGGGTCCCCACACTCTGCTCACCCCCACCCCCAGCCCCCTCACCGCCTCACAAATGGCCTCGAGGTGCAGTGCCTCCAGCTTCTGGGCCATCTCCTTGCGCCGCTGCCGGTACCAGCCGTCAAAATGCGGGGACTTGAAAAACCGCCTGTGGGTGTCGAGAGGCAGCGCCTGTGGGGCTGACCTCGTGTGCCAAGGACTGGGCTTTGGCATCCCCCTGCCCCGTCTGCCCACCTGTAGAGGCCCAGCCAGTCGCCCTTGAGGATGCAGGTGAGTTGGGGCCCCGCATGCTCCAGGCCACGCAGGAAGTCATCCTGGCTGAAGGGGCGGATCTGTGGGGGACTCTGAGACAGGCGCATGAGCCAGGACCCCTAGAACACTTCCCAGACACTCCTCGCCACATCTGAAGACCCCAGCCCCCACCGTGCCGGGTACAGATCCCAGGGCAGAGCCCCGAGCCCCCCAGGGTCCCCTCAGACCTCCAAGGCCTGCCTTGTACAGCCGTCCCCAGCCCTCCTTCTCTGGGACTCCGCCCCGCCCCGGACCCACCTTCCAGGGTGTGATGCTCTTCTGCAGGGGCATGAGGCTGGCCATGTAGTGCTCCTGGGGGAGAAGGGGAGTGATCTGGGCCCCAGCGCCTAGCCACCCCACCCCCCACTGCCGGGCCTCACCAGGGGGATGATGAAGCTTTGCGTGAGCTCCAGGAGGTGCCGTCTCAGCAGGGCACTCTGTGCGTCGGAAGGCCGCCTCTTCTGCACGCCCTGCAGGGAGCGGGTGCTGGCCCCAGGGCACCCCGGCCCTGCGGCCTTCCCGCCCCCACCAGGCCCGGCCCAGCCCCAGCCCAGGCCATCCGCCAGTCAGTACCTTGAGCAGCCGCTTGAGCAGGGCCTTGTCCCGGTGGAGGTGGGCCGTGTACGAGGTGTAGAGGCCTGGGGGCAACGCCGCGCGATCCTTTGGGGCCACCTCCCACTCCAGGCCCCACAGGGCAAGGGCGGTGCCCACCTGTCTGCACCCACTCCCGAGGCTGTTCCTGGCCGCTCGCCCACCCGCCCAAACACCGAGACCCAGAGAGGAGGACACTCCCCAGCCCGAGGCCACTGCTCTGCTGCCCACAAGGGGCCAGAGGGCCTGGCTGTCCCAGGGCCGGGTACAAGACGGGCCCCTCTGCAGTGGGGGCTCCAGGCCGAGGGGCACACACCTGGCTTGGTGTCGAGGGTCTTCAACCTGGAGGGCTTCTTCAGCTTGACCTGCTTAGGAAGGTCCCCTACAAGGCACGCACGGCGGCCAGGTCAGGGCCTGCAGCTCTGGCCGTGCCCAAGGCTCCAAGGAAGTCCCGGGGCCAGATTCCCGCCGGGTCCCACCCAGGTGAGGCTTCTGGGCAGCCCGCCTTCCCAGACCCTCACCTGACATCTTGGGCTCCCCAACCCGGAGGACATGGGGCCAGTGCTGGAGTGTTTTGATAAAGAAAGGGTTTGTGACTCCCAGGACCACGTTTGGTCTAGACAGAGAGAGAAAAAGCACAGGCAGAGAGAGAAGTGCAGGCGGCCGGACGGGCAAGTGGACCAGGAGGATGCACTTACGGGGCCTGCGTGCGCGTCGTGAACTCCTTGAACTCGCTGTCGTGGATGGTGAAGTAGGGACGGAAGTCACAGCAGAACTTGAGGGGCTGCAGGCAGCTGGGGGCAGCAGGAAGCCAGTGAGACGGGGCAGTGGGCCCTGCCAGAAAGGGCAGTGCCCTGGCCCTGCCCACAACGGGCCGGGCGGTACCTGGTCAGGGCCAGCACCATCTCGGAGGACACGTCGGGCGAGGGTGCCAAGACCACCAGCGGCTCCCCAAGAAGCATGAGCTCCCACAGCGTCTGTACGTGAGCCAGTACAGGCTGGAAACACCTGAGCAGGGCAGGCAGGAGGGGAGGTAGGGGTTGACTCAGTCACAGCCCCTCTCTCCCCCATGCCCCCAAGCTGGCCCAACACTCTCCTGTGCAAGCTGGCAGGGCCAGGCTCTGGGGAGCACAGCACCAGAGAAGACGGCGGGAAGACGGCGGTGGGGACCTTTGAAGACGGGTGTCTGGGGCTACCCAGGCTCTGACAGGACACCTGCCTGACTGGCCCCAGAGCCTGGGCTAAGGGAGGGACCCCCTGCGCCCCTGTCCCCCGTGCGGCCCCACCTCCTGCTGGGCCTGGCATGGAGCAGGGTTGTTTGGAAGCCAGGCTCCCTCTCAGGCTTGCCCCAGAGGCAAGGACGCACAGCCTCTCCCTGCTGCCTGCCTTCCGGAGCCCTCCCGCAAGCTGGGCTAGGGCTGCTCTTTGGCACAATCCTCCCTCTCGTTCCCAGAGCTGCCCCGTTACTCGTGGCAAGCTGTCCCTCCTTGGGGCAGCCCCGCCTGCAGCCGTACCCCCCACACACACACCCACAAGCCCGGAGGCTCCCCAAGGCAGCATGTGGTACCCTCCAGGGCCCACCTGAACAGGTCCAGCTCGTGAACACTGGTGAGAACCACCGGGGCAGGTAGCAGGCTCTGAGAAGAGAGGAGGTGGGTCAGGGCTGGGAGGGGACTGGCACCCAGGCAGCCCCTCTCACCGAGGGCAGCCCCCGCCTCTCCTCCAGCCCCACCCCACAGCACAGGTGTGCCTGTCCCACAAGCAGCACTGGGGAAGCCCAATGCTCCCGCCTCAGCCCACCTGGGCTCCCACCTCCTGATCACACTGCTTCAGCGGGCTGGCCTCAGACCTGTCCACCCTGGAAGGGACGCGGACCTGGGGGGAGGAAGCAGAGCAGCTGCCAGAGCGGGGGTCTCCCCACACCACCGTGCCCACCTCCCGGCTGCCCGGCTCTCACCTGGACGACCACCCCCATGACAGGGAGGTTCAGGGTTTGCCCGGGCTTGGGGGCTGGCCACTGGTCAATCTCGTTGCAGACTGTGGAAACAGGTTGCCAGTGTCAGGAGCCCTCACAGGGAAGCTACCTGCCAACGCCCACCAGGAGCTGCTGCTGGACGATGAGACTGTGCTGGCCATGTCTGACGGCCACTCACCTGCCTCCAGGCAGGGTGCCAGCTTGTCAAAGTACTCAGGCGCGATCAGGCTTAGCAGCGCCTGAAACAGTCGGACGAACGGCAGACGGGATAGCAGCACCAGAGACTGTGGGACCACGGGCCAGTCAGTGGGCACCCGGCTCCAGGCAGCACCCCAGCCATTCTGGAACCCGGCCCAGGGCAGCATGTCCAACCAAACCCTAGGGACAGCTGCCCTGGGACCGGCTCCACTCAGATCGGGGAACCATCAGACTGAAGCAAGCCCGACATCTGGCTCAGATGGGAGACAGCCCTGGGTGGCAGCGAGTGGGGTGGGACCCTAGGGCTCTCAGAGAGAAATGAAGTGTGGCCAAGATTCCTGGAATGGTCTTACAGTGGTGGCTGGGCAGCTCTTACTCTCTGTGTGTCCAAGAGTTCAAGGCTGAGCTGTCCTAACCCTGCCGAGTGACAAGGCCCCTCTGCCAGCAGTAAGGAGCACAGATATCCTGGTCTGAGATGGAGGGGCCCCAGGGACTGGGTTGGACGGGCAAGTGACAGGGGCCGGGTGAGAAAGGGGCAGCAGGCCGCTCCCCAGGGGTCAGGAGGAGAGCTGGGAGCAGGAGAGGCGCTGTGAAGGCTCAGGGCCCCTGGCCACTCCCGCCTCCCACGGCAGCAGCCCAGAGCCCAGGCGGCTCACCTTCTGGAAGTAGCCCCTCTTCACGGAGCTGTCCTTCACCTGCCTGAAGTGCACGAAGCCAAAGTAGTGTGCAGACTCCCTCTGGAAGTAGCAGGGTATGGGCCACCCACCCAGACCACCCTGTCAGCCTCTCCACTCCTGGAGAGCCAGGAGGCCCCAGAGCTGTCCCTGACCTCTGGCCAACAGAGGATCCTAGGCTCAGAAGGGGCACACCCACTGCCACAGCAAGGCATCCACGACTCAGTGGGAGGGCTCTGGGGCCGGGAGTCCTAGGGGTCCATGCAGGTACCCGCTCAAGGGCGCCATGCCCAGGAGGAGGTCCAGGGCCCCGTGAGTCCCCAGAAGTGCTGGTCATCCCACTGAGGCAGGAACCAGGACTGTGGACCAGGGGGCTTGCAGCGGTTGGTGGCCACACCAGACAGGGCTGGCCAGCACACTCCACCACCTAGGACCAGGTCCCTCAGGGCGCCTCAAGCAGCCTGGCCCCGCAGGGTCTGGGAGCAGGGCGGACAGCAGGTCCGGAGGCAGCCGGCCTCACCTGCAGCGCCACGGGGGCTCCACGGTCATAGTGCCCGTCGTTGGTATGCCAGGGGCTCCTCTGCCCACCACACTGACGCATGCGGAAGCTGAACTGCGTGTCCCCAAGGCAGCCTGGGAAGGGGCAGCCCCACACGCGTCAGGGCCGGGAGCCCTCCTGCAGGCCCTGGAGCTGGGCACGGGGCAAGTGCCAGGAGGGGAGGCCCAGCCTGAGGGGTCTACTTCCCGGCCCTGCGCTTGACTGCCACACACCCCAGTGGAGGCTCTCAGGACGAGCTCAGCACAAGGAAAACTAAGTGGCTCCCACAGGCTGTCTGGGACACAAGCCCCGGCGCCAGACGAGGGCCACCAGGCACTGCCTGGGGGAGCAGCGGGCGGGCCCAGCTCCCGGTGGCCACCGTGGTGAGGTGTTGGCCAGAATCCCCAGGTCCCTCTGCCAGAGACACCTCTTTCCATGTGGATCTGGGGGCCTGGCTGTCCTGTGGCAGGCTGGGAGCTGGTGTCTCCACTGAGCAGGGCGTGGTGGGCCCGCAGCACCCCATGCCCACAGGTAGCCATGATGCCCCTGGCCTGGGCCACAGGGGCTCCCAGCCAGCCCCATTTCTCAGAGTCAGCGTCCAGCCCTGGGAACAGGTGGGGGTGCCTACCTGAGTGGGAGTCAGGGAAGGACAGGTAGCAGATACTGCTTTTCTGAAACATACAAGACCTGGTGAGGGTCGACTCACTTCTGAGTGACGGTGACATCCGCTACTGACAGAACCAGGACCCACCTCCTTGTCTGTGAGCCGGAAGTCACTTGGGTACACCAGCTGCAGGGAAGACAGAGTGCTTGGTGACACCATCCACTTGGGGAGGTGCCACCACCCACCAGCACGGCCCGTCCTGGCAGGTGCAACGGCCAGGCCCAGGTATGTGCCCGCTGAGGCTGGCTCGCCTTGGCTTCCAGCTGCACAGCCAGCGTTCCTCCCTCCCCATGTGTCCTCTCTGGCTCAGACCCTGCTGGCTCCCAGCTGAACCCCTCCTCTCCCTGACCTTCTGGTATGCAGCCCCTGCTGGCCCAGGGCCTCTCTGCCACTCTCAGCTGGAGATCAGTACAACCGGGTGGGCTTCCTGGCACCTTTCTCACATCCCCTCATCCTCATGGCCCCCAGCCAAGCCAGACTGTGGTTGGCCTCTCTGCCTCCAACGACCCTGACACCTGTTCCCAGGCACCAGGAGGGCCGTTTTGGAGCCCACTGATGGGCTCCTCCCCCTGGAATGGTCATAGGGCCTCCCCCGGCTCTTCTCCACTACCCTGACTCCTGACCCAAGCCAGGGGTCTCAGGCCATGCCGTCCTCCCTGACCTCATGTTTTTGCTCAGATGTCACTTGTCCCAGCAGCAGCCCTGCCCGCAAGCCTCCCAACAGGCCCTCTCCACCCGCCCTCCCCTGCCAGGGCCTGTGCCCCACCTGCAGTGCCCAGTGAGTGCCCAGCTGGGTGAGCCCCCGGACCCTGGGAATGGACAACCAGCGAGAGCACAGATGCTAAACCACAGGCTCGGGATGACCAAGAAAACAGGTGGCAGAGCCCACATGGCCCTGTGGATGCATGCCAGCCATGTGGCCAGAAAGGCTGGCCCTGCAGGTGCTACAAGGCAGGGCACCCCATTTCCTGTAGGCCCCGCGGTGTGCCCTGGGTTGACTCTCCCAGGAGGTGCGGGTCTGGAGCCTACAGAGCCTCGCACCGTTTTGCTCCTGCCCAACCTCTTGGCATCTGGGTTTGGGCTGAAACAAGGCTTCTTCCAAGGTGTGCCCTGAGCCCCAGACAGGCAGGGTGGAGGCGGTGTGTGTGCTGTGCCCTGATGTCCACATCACACTATGCTGAAACGGCATGGCTTTTTGAACTCACTTGGCCTGGGCCTGCTGCTGGGGTCCTATTCTGTCTCTTCAGTGGCATGCTGAGCCTCCATAAGGTGCCTCCCAGCACCATGCAAGGGACAGACCCCCCCAAATATGGTGGTTTATTTTTTTGAGTAGGAGACTCACTCTGTTGCCCAGGCTGGAGTGCAGCGGCCACCACAGCCTCAGCCTCCTGGGTTCAAGTGATCCTTCCACCTCAGCCTTCCAAGTAACTAGAAGTACAGACGCACACTGCCACACCCAGCTTATTTTTTGATTTGTTGTGGAGATGAGGTCTCACCAAGTTGCCCAGGCAGGTCTCGAACCCCTGGACTCAGGCAACCGTCTCACCTCCACCTCCCAAAGTGCTGGGATTACAGGCTGAGCCACCAGACTCGGCAGACACAGTATGTGGGGAATGCGTGAAGATGTGTCTGAGGCATGTCAGGAGAGGCTGGCAAAGCCAGAAACCCCAACGTGAGGCAGCAGAGTCAGGAGGGGCTGACCCTCGGGAAGGGCCACAAGAACGCTTAGGCCAAGCCCTCGTGTGTCCGCACCACAGGAGGGCAGCTGGGGCGGGGCTGTGGCGGCCAGGCTCTTGGGGCACAAGCAGGCCCCCTCGGCCTCCGGGCTCCACGCCAGGCCCGGGCGCCCCAGCTGCACATCTAACCAGGGAAAGCCACGTCCACAGGCCCCTCCTCGTTGGGGCCAGGCACGGCGTGGAGGCTGGGTGCGGAGCCAGAGGTCAGGCCAAGTCAGTGAGGAGACGGACGGCGCAGACCCCAGAGCAAGAAGGCCCGAGGCCAGGCTGTGCACTCTTGGGGTTGCCATGAGGGTCCTGAGCCAGCTTGCAGGCTCCTGGTAACCCAGCTCTCCCTAAGACAGCTGTGGGAGACTTTGGAGGAGTCATTCTCAAAGTGTGGCCTGGACACTCCTGGGGTACCCAGGTCAAAGCTCTTCCCACACACAAGCGCCCCTTTCACCCTCATCTTCCCATGTGTGTACAGTGCAGCTCCCAGGAGCCGTGACGCATCTTTTCCTGGTGCCCTGAACACAGTGCCAACAGGGGAATCTGCTGTTTCTACCCAGCCAGATGTCAGTAAGGTTCACGGAAGTGTGAAAGATGCCATTCTTCTCACTAAACAGTATTGTTTCAGGAAATGTGCTTCTCATAAAAATGTGTTATTTACCTTAATACATCCAGTGTTTACTGTAAAAAAATTTTTGAGTCAGCCAGGTATGGTGGTTCATGCCTGTAATCCCAGCATTTTGGGAGGCAGAGGCGAGAGGACTGCCTGAGCCCAGGGGTTCGAGACCAGCCTGGGCAACTTGGCAAGACCTCATCTCTACAATAAATCAAAGAGTTAGCTGGGTGTGGTGACGCACACCTGTCGTTCCTCGCCTGAGTTCAGCAGGTGGAGGCTGTGACAGCCATGAGCGTGCGAATGCACTCCAGCCTGGGTGACAGATTTGAGTCAGGGTTAGGGTTAGGGTCTCACTCTGTCACCCAGGCTGGAGTGCAATGGCGCACTCATGGCCACCACAGCCTCAACCTCCTAGGACGAAGAGATTCACCCTTCTCAGCCTCCCAAGTAGCTGGGACTACAGGAGCGCACCCCCACGCCTAGCTTATATTTTTTCTCTAAATTGTGGGGTACAAAATTAGCCGGGCGTGGTAGCGCGCGCCTGTAGCTCCAGCTACTCGGAATGCTGAGGCGGAAGGATCGCCGGAGCCCAGCAGGTCGAGGCTGCGGTGGCCGGGAGCGGCCACTGCACTCCTCCAGCCTGGGTGACAGAGTGAGACTCCGACTCAATAAAAAAAAAAAAAAAAATTGTGGGGTACAATTCAGAACTAGGCATACAAATATTCATCGTGCAGTTACCCATCAATGAGGTGTGCTTCCCCCACTTTTCCCCACTGGCTTATTTTTTTTGCAGAGATGAGGTCTCAGTGTGTTGCCTGGGCTGGTCTCAAACTCCTGGGCTCAAGCAATCTTCCCACCTCGGCCTCCCAAAGTGCTTGGATCGCAGACATGAGTTACCACGCCTGGCCCTAAATTTTTTTGAGATGGGTCTCACCCAGTCGTCCAGACTGGAGTGCAGGGGTGTGATCACAGCTGACTGCAACCCTGAACTCCTGGGCTCAAGAGATGCTTTCACCTCAGCCTTTTGAGTAGTTGAGACTACAGGCACACACCACTGCACCCAGCTAATTTTGTTTTAAGTTCTAGTAAACATCGACCAAGATAGCCTGTGCAAACAAAATGCTCCCTGGGGTCCTCGATAAGTTTAAAGGCCGTCATGGTGTGGGAATTGCTGCCTGGGAGGGCGTGCTTGCTGTGCTGAAAGGGGCTCTGGGCTGGAAGTGGCTCTGGGCGTTCCATTCACAGGTCACCCCAGACTCCAGGTGAGCTGGGGTATCGCAGAGTGTTTCCGAGGGCTGGGATGGCTAAGCCAGACCCTTCCCTAGGCTGACCTGCATGTTTCGGGCACCCCCAGCCCTGTCCACCCCCAGCTGGACCCTTTGTCTCACACAGGGTCGTGCACTCATATGCATGGGACACCCAAGAGTCCAGTTCAGGAATCGTCCTGCAAGGGCTGGGGGGTCTGGTGAGGGCCGGGAAGGGTTCTGTGAGGGCTGGGGGGGTCCAGTGAGGGTTGGGGGTCCTGTGAGCACTGGGGGGATCCTGTAAGGACTGACGGAGGGTCCCGTGAGGGCTGGAGGGTGCAGTGAGCACCGCCGACCCCGACCCCAAGTCACTCGCTCTCCAGCACAGCGCCAACTTCCGGAGAGCAGGACAGCCATTCCCATGTCGCCTATGCCACTGCTGTTGTCATTGCTAGCACTGTGGGGCCCGCTGGTAACAAGCTGTTCAACGCTTGATCTACTGAATGGACGGCTTCCTGGGGGGAGGAACTACCTGAAAAGATCCCCCTACCCATCTCGCTGCTTCCCTCTCCTCCTCCAAGACTTATTTAGCTGAGGCCCCTGCTTCCTCTGAGCTGTGTGCCTCCGGCTGGCCCGGGGCCTCGCGGGCTGGGCTGCAAAGAAACACTGGGTCCCTGATCTGGTGGACTGCAGAGGAGGGCAGGGAGGCAAGAGGCCGACAGCAGTGGGCTCACTGCACTGCCAGGTTCCTGCTCAGACTCAGTGACCTGGAGGGGCTCAGGTCTCCGCTGGGGAGCACGTCGGAGGTAGCCTGGTTCCCAGTCCACCAGCTGTGCAGTCCCACCCCAGCTGTGCAGCCTGCAAGAAGACTCAGAAGCCCGGGCACACAGGCTTTATCAGGACTTGCTCCATTCAGTGTTCCAAATGGCTAGGTCTTAGAAAACCAGGCACGAGACTGCCTCAAGGAAATAAGAGCCTCTTCACTTCTCTGGAGGCTTTTTTTTCTTTTTTTTTTTTTGCATCAGAGTCTCTTCACCCAAGCTGAAGTGCAATGGTTCGATCAAGGCTCACTGCTGCCTCCAACTCCTGGGGTCAAGCAATCCTCCAGCCTCAGCCTCTCAAATAGCTTAGACTACAGAAGGCACCACTGTGCCCAGCCTTTTAATTTCTTTGTAGAGAGATCTCACTGTGTTGCTCAGGCTGGTCTCAAACTCCTTGGCTCAAGCAACCCTCCTGCCTCAGCCTCCCAAAGTGCTGAGATTAAAGTGCCTGTCCTTTCCAGACATTTTATGGAGAACAATCTGGACAACAGAATTTTTTTTTTTTTTTTTTTAGTCGGAGTCTCACTCCGTCACCCAGGTTGGAGTGCAGGAGCACGCTCACGGCCACCACAGCCTCAACCTGCTGGGCTTAGGCGATCTTTCCACCTCAGCGTTCCAAGTAGCTGAAACTATAGATGCATACCACCACACCCAGCAAATTAAAAAAAAAATTTATTGTAGAGACAAGGTCTCACCAAGTTGCCCAGGCTGGTCTTGAGAACCCCTGGGCTCAGGGCATCCTTCTGCCTCTGCCTCCCAAAGTGCTGGGATGACAAGTG